ATCCATATCTCGGTAGAATTTTAATTTTTTGGGGTTTAGGGTTTTAGGGTTTAGGGTTTAGGGTTTAGGGTTTAGGGAGTTAATCAGAAGCCGGGATACCAGCATCATTCCTCAGGGGTCCTTCACATAATTTTGTCATCATATAGCCCAAACAAAAACCTTATTCCAACCAGGGTTTTGGGGTTTAGGGTTTAGGGTTTAGGGTTTAGGGTTTAGGGTTTAGGCAGCATGGCCATTATATATTATGGAACATCTTATGGAACCCTAAAAGCATCCCTTATAGTACCCCTTTACAAGAAGCTCTTTACGCAACCCTGCCGGCGAGGATAAAGAGCTTGGGCGCTTCCCGCAAGAAGCCATAGAACCCTTATGGCATGCCGTATAGCAACCCCAAAAGCAGCTCTCCACGAGGATAAAGAGCTTGGGCGCTTCCCGCAAGAAGCCCCCTGACGTGGTTTTGGACGAGTGCATCGAGTACAGTGAGCGCGTGGCACACAGATCAGGCTCCCATCGGGTTCGGGTAGGGGTTTAGGATTTAGGGTTTAGGGTTTAGGGTTTAGGGTTTGGGGCTTTAGGCTTTAGGGTTTAGGGCTTTAGGCTTTAGGCTTTAGGGTTTAGGGTTTAGGGTTTAGGGGTTTAGGAGTTTAGGGTTTAGGGTTTAGGGTGTTCGGGTAGGGAGCCCAGAGACTCCAATATCCCTTACTTAAGGAATATACCTTAGAATTATAGTAGGATCCCTAATATGACCTACAGTAGATTCCTTAATTTAGGGATCTTGGAGTCTCTAGGTGCCTTTTGGGGTTCTAGAAGGTTCCATAGTTCATCCCATGTAAGCCCTCAAGGAATCCTTAAAGGAATCCTTAATAGAGCCCTTAAGTAGATGCTACCATGATGCGAGTTGCGTGGGGCAGAGCCTCCAGTTTTCCAACTCCCCTCCATTGAGGTGTCCAACTTCAGGGTACCCTAAAAAGAAACCCCAAACCCTAAACCCTAAACCCTAAACCCGAAACCCTAAACCCTCGGCCCTAAACCCTAAACCCGAAACCCTAAACCCTAAACCCTAAATCCTAAACCCTAAACGGAAGGCCAGGCATTGCTTCGAAATCGGCGTCGAACCCGCCAAAAAGACTTCCAGGTCCTTCACCCTACGGCCTCATTGCTCACAGTATGAGTTGCATTCTACATACCCAAGTCCAAACCCAACCCTAACCCCTAAACCCTAAACCCGAAAAGCCGTAAACCCTAAAGCTTCCAAGCTCGGAGCCCCTTCAATGCTGCACCCAGGGAACCCTGTGACCTAAAGTGAAGCTACATCTCTAAAAAGAAGGTTTCTTGTCTACCCTTTCAGGGTACTTCTTCATGGACTCTCCCGGAAACGACCTGGAGTCTATCGCCGGGCAGGTAGGGTTGCCCAGGGAATAGGGACCTCTGGGCTTTTTTTTTGGGGGGGGTGGGCCCCAAACTAAACCCACAAGCCTGAACCTTGCTTGAAAACCTTAGGCTTTAGACTGCAACTCATGTGTAACTCAGAGCCCAACAGAGTTGTGGGTGCTTGGAGTAAGCACCTCCGGTCTTGCCCTTCTACGCTCCGTCGTAAAGCAACCAGCCCCGAAGATCGGATGTCAATATTCGCAGAAAATCTTCCAACGGAAGCACAAATTTCGGTTTTCAGGCCCGTGCTAGGAAAGGATGAAGCGACGGTTTAAATTACCAAAACCGCGTCATTGATATAGTGTGTAGGCTTTGGTATAGACGGCCAGGAGGTGCGAACTCTTTGTCATCTTGCCTTTACAATAAAGTAACAAAGCCTTGAAGACCTTGCGATTGTCATGCTCCCTCCATTTCTCCTCAGGTGAACAACGGTATGGTTGGACTGTCAGGCATCTACAGCGACGAGAAATTAAGCATTTAGGGGCAGCAGTGGTAGTAATGTGGCAACGGCATGAACATCAGTAGTACCGACAGTGTAGATGCTATCAGCAGTACTAAACGTTGCCAAAGAATCGCGACAACGAGAGTAACGGCAGAAGGCACCGCCAATAATCACCCCGACGGCTAGAGAGCAAAAAAAGCTAGGACAGACTGAAACCTGGACTCTAAAACCTAAGCCCTAAACCCAAACCCGAAATCCTAAACCCTAAATCCTACACTTCAAAACCCAAACCCGAAATCCTAAACCCTAAATCCTGACAATTGAAAGCCTCACCATCAGAATCAAGTCTAAGGACTTTAGGAGGGACCATATTAACCCCAATAACCGACAAGGGTCCCTATTAAGGGTCCCTCCTAAAGCCCTTAGATCAAGGTTGCCAGCGGTTGCAACGTGATCTTCTTTGTCACAGGCAACGGAGCCCCTCGTTCAATCAGGGAGTGAAGAGTTTAGGGTTTGATATAGGGGCCTAAACAATTGAAATTAGGGGTTCCCGATTATAGTTGTTATAACATAATATTTATACGGCTCCTTATTAAAATTGCAGTAAAAAATGCGCAAAATAATTGCAAGACTATTTTGGGGCTCCTTATTTTAGTTATAGCATAATCTTTACTCCAAAGAGACCCGCCAAGACCTTCTATCCCCCAATCCCCCAACTGCACAGAGAAAGCCTGAGGTTTAGGGTTTAGGGTTTAGGGTTTAGGGTTTAGAGTTTAGGGTTTAGGGTTTAGGGTTTTAGGAATGTGAATTCCTAAACCCTAAACCCCCTAAACCCCCTAAACCCTAAACCCTAAACCCTCAAAACCCCTAAACTCATAGGGCTTACGCCCCCTGACCATGGACCTGTTGGGTGGGTTTTTTGGGTTTAGGGTTTAGGGGAAGTTCTAAATCACCAAAGCCTTACTGAAAGACTATAAGGCAGAGGGTTTTGTAAGTAGGGTTAAAGTTGGGTGAGTATCACCCCACGGAGAAGTTTACGTAGGGTTATCTGCACCTCAAATTGGGGTTATTACCAGTTATAGCTAAAGTCAACCGGCCAATAGCTGTACCTGCGAAGTCTCCCCTGAATCTTGTAAGAAACTTTCCATGAAAGCGCCCACGACTGAGGCCATCACCAACTTTCCCTTCGTGCCGACGTTGAAGGTTGTCACGACAAGCGGCCGATTCAACATCCTCCAGAAGGAGACCCTCAACCCTAAACCCTAAACCCTAAACTTCTTTTGGGTTCGAGGTTGGGACTTTATACGTCTTGTGGATGCCGAGTTGAGGCTTGAATTGCGGTTTTCGGGCGTTTGGGTTCCGGCGCTTGGGGTCTAGAGACACTTTTAGGTTGTAGTGGTTATAGTACCAGTAGTAGTAGTAGTAGTAGTAGTAGTAGTAGCAGTAGCTATGCGCGCCTTCAGGCGCC